ATCCTTCCCATCTGTGAACTGGGGTGGCTGTGGTACCCCAAAACCCAGTGCCTGTGGTCGCTGCTTGAGCTGGGGCTGCTCAATGGCACTTTGGGAGCCCAGACCTCAGCACAGACACGGATGTGGGATTGATGGGGGAGGAATGGGAAGGCTGCAGGAGATGCGACCCCCGGGGTCCGTGGTTCATTCACTGTCGGGATGGTGGGGAGACTGTGATTGGGGTTGTTGGGGGGCTGTGTGTGGTGACCGTGGGGAGGCTCAGGGCACAGGCCTTTAAGGTTCTTCCTGTCCCGGAAGGAAAAGGAGGAACCAGAGGGGGAGGGTTGTGCTGTTTCACATCTGCGTGGTTCCTTGCCGGGCCTCTTTCTTTAAGAATCTTCCTCCCCACGTTTTGGGGGTCCCCAGGGTTGGGGGTCCTCGATGAGCAGCTGCAGGGCCAGGGGGATTTGGGTGTGGACGTGGGTAAAAGATGGCGGCAGCGCTGCTCCTCTCCTTCCTCTTCCTCCTCTTCACCACACGAGGTACGGCGGGGAGGGTAGGGGTGGGGTGGGTACCCCCAGGCTGAAGGTGCTGGGTTGGGGGGCAATGGCTTTGGGGAGGGTGAGGGACCTTGGGGAGGTGCCCATGGGTGGACTCACCCCATCCTTGTGCTTGTGCCCAAGGTGGGGACCCCCCCCTTTTCCTGCGGGAGCCTCCTGGCATCGCCACCTCCAAATTGGGGGCCAGGAGCTGCTCCGGGTGAGCTTGCAGGGGGCAGAGGACCTCAAAAATGAAGGCAAACGGGGAAAAAAAAGCCAAATTCGCCATCTGCAAGTCTTGGGGTGAAGCGGTGGATGTCTGGTTCCCAGTGATAGGGATCGTCCCTGTGATGCAGAGGGTGCAAAGGCATTGGGAGTTGGGGAACAAATGGGTTATTTGTGTTTTTTCACGTATCTGGGAGGAATCGTGGTCCCAAGCAGGTCCCGTCTGTGCTTTTTCGGCAGCCCGAAAGGAGGCTCCGTCGGAGGTGGTGGGGATTGTGGGTGGGGTGGGCTATCTCAGCCCCAGCCCCGAAAGCCAAGCCTCCTACCACCAAATCCACTGGCGACGGGGAGACACGGTGAGGATCGCCAGCCGGGACAGCCAGGGGAAGGTGCAGTTCCCCAACAACGCCTACACCGGGCGCCTAGAGCTGTTCCCCAACAACAGCCTCAAAATCAGCCCCCTGCAGAAAACGGACAGCGGCGAGTACCGGGTGTACCTGGAGGACGAGGTGGGCAAGGAGCGCATCGAGAGGATCTTCCTGAAGGTCTACGGTGAGTGGTGGGGACAAGGGATGGTCCCAGTCCTTGCTGTGGGGGACAGGGATGCTGTGACACCCCATTGTCTCTCACAGATGTGGTCCCCAAGCCCACCGTGAAGGTCAACATGGTCAGTGGTGACTCGAGGTGGTGTCACGCCGTCCTGGAGTGCTCGGTGGAGCTCGAAGGGGTCACCTACGAGTGGATCCCCCCCGTGAAGATCAACCTGGAGGAGGCGAACGGCTCCAAGCAGAACATCTCCTTCAACCCCTCCGTAGAAATCTACACCTGCAGGGTCAGCAACGCCGTGTCCTCCAACAACGCCTCGCTGACCTACAGGCACCCCTGCTCCTGGACGGGTACGGGACGGGGAAACTGGGGGGACACGGACTGTGGGAAGGGGGTCCCTGTGTGACCCTGGGGACAGCGGATCCCTGCACAGCTGGAGGTGTCCCATGGGTGTCCATGGCTCCCTTTTTCCCCATGCCATGGGCTGGCAGGATCCCACATGGGGAGGGGACTGGGGGGTCCCCAGCCCCACCAACACCCCAATTCTCCCCCTCTGCCTCCAGCTGAATCCTCTGCCGTTGCATCCAGCAACTCAGGACTCCACCTCCTCCTCCTCCTCTTCCTCCTCGCCTTGCTATAACGATGCCCTGTAGTTGACGTCTCTCCACATCTCAGCACCGGCCCTGGATGAGGGCAATGCCAGGGGATGCAGAACGATGGGGTTGCCCAGGAGAAACCATTACAACCAGTGCCCATCCCACCAGCACCGTCATCTTCCCACCAGCCCAGGCTCCGGCTGCTGTGCCGCCACTGTTGGGGTAGCTCTGTGCCTCAGTTTCCCTCCTTGCCTTTTTTGCTCTGCTTTAATCAGAGGCCACGTTTTCCAGGTCTGTTTTAACGTTTTTCTTTTGCACTCTGGACCTAAATAACTGAATTAACCACTAACTGCTTGGAAATCCTCCTCTTCCCAGCACTGATATCTACAGAGACACCAAATTTGGGCCTTTCTTGAGCTCGGGAGGCCCTCGGGCGTCACCTGGTGACAGCGACGCCTTTCGTGTCACCCGGTTGACGCTGCAGGGCGTGCTTTGACTGTAACCGGGTGACACCGGTGTGGGTGTAGCCCAACCTCCTCAAGGGGACAGAGCCGAGGTGACACCTCAGGAGGGTTTGACACAGTGAGAACGGTTTCTGCCTTCATAAATATCTGTCGGTGCATTAAATTAATGCATTTTTAACCTTATACCCTGCGTTTTTAGGCGCCTCTTCTGCGTCCTCCTCCGGGCTGGGGTTGGTGGCAGTGGGACAAGGGGAGCTGCGTTTGCCCTCCAATGCCCTTGGTGGGGTACGTGGGCCCGTTGGGGTGGGGAGATGCTTTTTGGGAGTGATGGAGGTTGTCCCTCAGCCTGCAGAGGGGGACAGGGATGTGACCCAAGGCCACCACAGCCCTGGGATGCTGTTGTTCCTGCCCGCTCTGGCCAAACCAGATGGAGAAAGGAGAGAACCGGGCTTTTCCCTCCCTAAATCCCAAGAGGATTCGCTTCATGTCTCCTTCCTAAGGCCAAATTCATCAAAGCATCAACAGGGAACCTCACCAGCTCCTTCGAAAATTGGTAACCAGCATGAATCATTCCCTCCCCTGGTGACTAATGATGGTTTTTTAGCACCAATGTGTGTTTTCACGGAAAATCCCTCCCTTGAAATTCTTTGCTTGGGTCCTGGTCTATTCCCAGGTGAAAATTCGGGGCTTTTCTGCCTTTGACAAAACCCGGGACGGCCGCTGAGCACCAGCACCACCACAGAACCTCTCATGATGGATCAATACGGAGCCCGGTGCCATGCCTTGGTCACCTTCAACCTGCGCCGATGGTGAAAGCAAAGGCATTTGGGATCTTTATTTTCACTTAACAGAGGTTTTTCTCTGCTTTTTTTTGTGTCCCCAGGTACTTCCTGGATTTTTTTTTCTTGATGGTTTTGCTTTTTAAGTCATTTTCCCTCATTTTTCCTAGCCCAACCAGCAGATATTGTTGGGATTTGATGGTTTTCCCGGACCAGTTTGTGGCCACTGGTTTCTCCGTGCTGTTGTGGAGCACCCGGCCCTGGCAAGGGCAGGGTTGGGGACCATTAAAAAGAGGAGAAAAGGAGCTGAGACCCCTTAATCTTCTTCGTCCTTTCCTTTTTTGCTTCTCCGTGAGCTCTTCCATCGGGAAACGGCTTTTTTTGGTTTTTCTCAGATGCTTTCCCAGTGGGAAGTTGCAGCCCTGCAGGATGCCGGGGTGTTTTAGCGCAGTTTTAGGCGTTTTATCGTTAGAAATAATTTATAGCATTACAAATAATTTATTCGCAACAAAACTCGCGGAGATCTCGGAGCTTGGCTGCCCAGAAAAGCGCTGGGCTGTAGCTTCATCATTTCCTTGTGACGCTCAAGTCGGGTTTAAAACAGCGGAGGAATTCCTGTTTCACACCATCGCCTCCGTTCTCCTTTGAAAAAGAAACCGCAAAAAGCAACGAAAACTTGAAGAAAACAGTAGGGAAAAAAAAACAACAACCAACCCCTAAACCTTCTCCCATTTTAACGCTGAGCATCGACGGAGGTGAATAATTCATTCCGCTAAAAACACAGAAAAACAGCGACGCTTTTCTCGCCCCTTTCCAGCAGCGGAACAAGCGAGGGGTGGTTTTTTTGGGGTGCTGAACAGGAGGAGGGGACTGTCCCTGTCCCCAGACACCGCCGGTGCCAATGGTGGGGGTTGAACGGGAGCAGATTGGAGGCCAGGTCAACCCCGTTGGGTGCTCAACGTGAGGATTGGGCGTTTTCTTGGTGAGTTTTGAAAGTCTCGGTGAGTTTTTAAAGACCACCCATGCACCCCCTTGCTGCTGTTACCCCCCCCCCCCAGCCCAAACCCAAAGTGTGGGGGGCTCAATCCCATTAAAATCGATGTTTTCCTGTGCATCACGGCTGCGATCATCGGTGCAGGTCTCTCTTTGTGCCAAATCCCTGCCCTGAGGCGCTGGGATGGAGCAAAAGTGGTTGGGATGCTGCCACACCGGGGAGCGGCCGCTTTTCTCCACCCCTGCTGCATTTAAAGGCTCTGTGCAGCTCTCACCGTTCATAAAGTGATTTTTCTCACCCATCACTTCGTCCTCTTTTGGGAGGGGGATGCACTTTTGGGTACAGACTCTAACTCGACGCACTGCTTCCTTCTGCAGGTTGCTCTTGCCTGGGGGTCCTGGTGGCCAGCAGGATGACCATGAGCCAGCACTGTGCCCTTGTGGCCAAGAAGGCCAATGCCATCCTGGGGTGTATCAGGAGGGGGGTGGTTGTAGGGCAGAGAGGTTCTCCTGCCCCTCTGCTCTGCCCTGGTGAGACCACATCTGGAATATTGTGTCCAGTTCTGGGCCCTCAGTTCAAGGAGGACAGGAACTGCTGGAGAGAGTCCAGCGTAGGGCTACAAAGATGATGGAGGGAGTGGAGCATCTCCCTTATGAGGAGCGGCTGAGGGAGCTGGGGCTCTTTAGTTTGCAGAAGAGGAGACTGAGGGGAGACCTCATTCATGTTTATGAATATTTAAAGGGTGAGTGTCACGAGGATGGAGCCAGGCTCTTCTCGGTGACAAACAATGATAGGACAAGGGGTAACGGACACAAACTGGAACACAGGAGGTTCCACTTCAATTGGAGAAGAAACTTCTTCTCAGTGAGGGTGACAGAGCCCTGGCCCAGGCTGCCCAGAGAGGTTGTGGAGTCTCCTTCTCTGCAGACATTCAAAACCCGCCTGGACGCCTTCCTGTGTAACCTCATCTGGGTGTTCCTGCTCCGGCAGGGGGATTGGACTGGATGAGCTTTGGAGGTCCCTTCCAATCGCTAACGGTCTGGGATTCTGTGATTCTGTGAAGCGTTCAGCTTCGAATAGTTAAGAAAAAGAAAATGAGAAAGTAAAAAAAAAAAAAAAAGGAGTCATTCAGCCAAAAAAAAACCACCAAAACAGGAAACCGTCCTACGGCAGCGCCTCATTTGAGTACACCTGCGCTTCAAATGAGCCCGGCAGCACATTGGGGCTCCAGTGCCACAAAGGCTCCGTGAAGCAAGGCATGGGCTGCGGCGTGTGGCTCTGGTTCCTGCTCCCTCTCGGCCGATTTTGGGGTACGTACGCGTTCCTCGCCGCGAAATACTCGGTTTGGGTGGTTTTTTAGGGGTTTTTTTTTATTTTTGGTGAGTTATGGAGAACTTCAGAAGTCGCGAGCTGCGTGCCGGGCTGATCGGGTATAAATATTCATATAGGAGATAAACGAGCTGCATCCCTAATACGCTCCTGCCCGTCAGGCTGAGGATGAGAGACGAGGGATGAACAAAGACGGTGATGGACAGAGCGTAGCTGCATTGGTGAAGCTTTCCACCGTGTGTTTTAATGGGGTATTCATGGCACAGAGCGAATAATTTAGTCCCAGGTGTGGATGGGGGCACTGGAGATGAAGGTCCTGGGTGGTTTGTCTTGCAAAAAATGCGTTAAAAAATGTGTAAGGCGAGTGGGAAGGGATGATGCTGAGTTTTGGGTGCCTGGAGAGCCGTGCCAATGATGTCCTGGGGACAACAGTGTCCTGGATGAGCCAAAATCCCCTCCAGATGAGCTGGGACCCCCAGACCCTCTATTCCCAGATGCAGGAGGATGCCGGGGTTTCTCCTTGGCTCACCATTTCTGGAATTATCAGCCTTTAAAATCCCCCCATGGGGTTTTTTGACCGGCCAAAAGTCCCACCAGGCCAATACCTGACGTGAGGGCCGCCCAGTGTGGATCGCTCCCCGTCCTCCAGCCCCTCCATTGGAATTTGGGATGCTCTTGGACTCCTTCGCGTCCCTCTTCCAGCCGAGCTGTTTCCCCTTGTCCCAGAGGATGCTTCTCATCAGGGCAGAGGGTTTTTCTAAAATGCTGTAGGAAGGGCTTTTCCATTCAGTCATTAACGAGGAGCCTTAACCGCCGCCCGTCAAAATGGCACGTTGCTGAGAAAATGCAGCATGTGTGGGATTTACAGTAACTGCAGCAGCAGAAAAGTGT